AAATTGAGGCACAGGACAAGAAAGGCAGCCGCACACTGGTCCGATGATCACAGAACGAGAGACAAGAAAGGCGAGGCTCACCAAGCCATTTATCTCTCTGCCCTTCAGTCAATCCCACTTGTGTTTATCGGCCAGGCTGGCACAATAAACTATCTCAAGAATGAATTCTGAAGTATTCCTTTCCTTTCTCCCTTCTGAGAGGGTTTGATAAGCATCGATGCTAATTCTTTACATTTGGAAGAATGTAGCTGGGAGGGCATTTCTGAATCAGGAGGTGTTTGACTACTGACCTGAACTCTAGTTAAAGATCTGCTGAGATTTTCTATTTCTTCGTGAGTCAATTTGGATATTTGTGTTTCTAGAAATGTGTCCACTTCCTGTATATTGCCTAATCTTTTGATGTGCAATTGCTCCTAAATTTTTTTCAATAATTCTTTTTTATTTCAGTCAGGTCAGCAGTGATTTCCACATTCATTTCTGATTTTTCTCTTTGTCAGTCCATCTAGAGTCAGTCAATTTTATCGATCTTTTCAAAGAGCTAACTTTTGTTTCTTTTTTTATTGGCTTTCTGGCTTTATTTCATTTTTTCTCCTTTCTATTCTTTATTACATGCCTTCTGTTAGCTTTGGGCTTGGTTTGCACTAGTTTTTCTAGTGGGTTTTAAGAAAAATCATTTTTATGGGGGACTCTTACAGCTCTTATAATTCCATACATCCAATGTATCAAGTATATTTGTACATATATTGCCACCATCATTTCCAAAACAGTTTCTACTTGAGTCCTGGGTATAAAGCTCCTCTTTTTTCACCTTCCTCCCCCACCCTCGTGAATCCTTGATTAAATATATATTATTATTATTTCATATCTTACACTGTCCGTTGTCTCCCTTCATCCATATTTCTGTTATTCATCCCCTTAGGGCAGGGGTGCTATATATCCAGCCTTGTGATGGGTTCCCCCTTTCTCTCCCTTCCCCCTCTCTGGCTCCCCCTACCCTCATGATCTCACTACTCCCACTACTGTTCCTAAGGGATTTATCTCTCCTGAATGCCATGTGTCCAGATCTCTGATCTGTATCAATGTGTGTTCTCTGATCCAGCCAGATTTGTAAGGTATTTTTTTCTAGTTTGCAAGGTATAAAACTAGGTTATTAATTTAAGATCTTTCTTCTCTTTCAATGTGGGCATTTACAGTTATAAATTACCCTCGGGGCACTTCCTTCATTGCGTCCCACAAATTTGGTGTGCTATACTTTATTTTTAATTATACTCTAAGTATTTTCTATTTTTCCTTCTTTGGTTAATTTTGTTTCATGGTGGAGTGTTTAATTTCCACATAGTTTTAAAATTCCCAGCTTTTTGTTATTGTAACCTAGTTTCATTCTACTGTGGTCGGAAAAGATCTTTGTAAATGTGTAATACTTCGTGATGTTTAAAGACTTGCTTGTGACCTACTGTCTTAGTCTGGTTCTAAAAAAAAGAAGTAAATTAAGCTCTTTCTTCACCTGCAAAATGGCTATCAAGAATGATAATATGTTTCATAAGGTTATAGTAAGAACTAATATATTAAAGGTTCATGAGGGAGGGGGGAGGAGGAGGGGAAAAAGGAAAATGAGGAGCCAATTCCAGGAACCCAAGAGGAAAGCGAATTTTGAGAATGATGAGGGCAACAAATGTGTAAGTGTGCTTTACACAATTGTAGGTATGGAGTGTGATGAATTGTATGCGCCCCAATAAAATGATTTTTTTTAAAAAGAACGAATACAATAATGCTTACCGACCATAAAAAGTTCCTGAAGTTCTTGCCTCTGTACCTCAGAAGGTTATTGAGGTCACACAGGTAAATGGCCTAGCAAGGAGACCCCCCTGAGCATCATACACACACCCTACCCCCTCCACCTTGAAGCGCTGTAGATGCAAAGTAGGTGTATCTGCTGCCCTCTTATGGTCAAAGCGAGGAATCACAGTCTACTCCTGGGAGTCAGGAGCTTGCGCTTGTGTGGAAAACTAGCCTAACTGCCGAATCGCTCCCTCATCCTTAGTGGCCAGCAAACACAAAGAAACACTGAGCAGCAGCAAGAAGCTCAAGTCTCCAGGTTGTCCATGAATGTCCCTCAGCAGGGACAGAACTCTGGGATTCTCCTAGAGCCAATTTCTTCCTTGTAAAGGAAGGGAGGTAGCCCGTCTCAACAGTGCAAGCTTGTGTGTAAAACACTGGCCTGGATACAAGTGCCAAGTCTGACACAGACACACTAGACATTCAATGCTCTTTTCAGATATGATTGCGGGCTTATCACCATGCTAACTCGTCAAAAACAGAACAAAAAGCTCTGCTATCGAGCCCATGATGACATAGGCACCCGCAGGCAGGACAGAGTCGAACCACCCCTGCGAGTTCCAAAAACTAGAACTGTTTCCAGGAGCAGAGAGCCCCATGGTTTCAAACTACTGACTTCCAAAACTAGAACTGTTTCCAGGAGTAGAGAGCCCCATGG